ACACACACAAATATACACAACTGAGATAACAGCTTCAAAAATATTTCCCTTAACTACGTGATACACTGATATTTTGCATTCTGTTCCGCTTTCTATTCTAGTTCTTTCTCCCCATCCCCCCACCTTTTACCATCTTTTAATGCTAATCACAATTTATTGAAAACATTGACCTAAGGTCTCTTCAGCTAATAATCAATTTGTCTAAATGTCAACTACCTTTCTTTTGATAAGGAAACATTTTTAAAACATGTATTACTTTTATAAAACATTGTAATGTTTGTAGATTTTTTAAATTTTCAGAACTTTGAAAACACCTTCCATTATCATTATCATATCAATTTCCATTACCATTCCCCATTGTCAAAAATTTATTTCAAATTCTTATTTGGAGCTTATTTGTATCTCTCTTATTTTCCTATTTATTTTTGTCATCTTTTTGGCTTTTTTAAAAAATATGTTTTTATTGAATTTAGAGAGAGAAAGGGGGAGGGGGAGAGAGAGAAAAACATTGATGGATGAGAGAGGACCATTGATCAATCGATGGTCTGCCTTCCGCACACCTCTACCAAGGATGGAGACTGCATGTGTCCTGATCAAACCGGTGACCTCCCAGTGCATGGAACCATGCCCAACCAAATTTGCCACACTGGCCAGGGCCATCTTTTTGGCTTTTTCAGGACCTCTAAACAACTTACACCTGATTCAATTATGTATTTCTACAAATAGAAAGTGTGAGATAGATGTCAGATCTGATTGATGCAACAGGCCACTGATGTCAGTAAGGACTCAGGCTGTTTGCATCTTTCCATCTGCCATTCTTTGGGTTGGCTTTGCTTTTTTAAAAAAAAAAAATCCTTACCCCAGGACATGTTTATTGACTTTTAGAGAGAGGGGAAGAGAGAGAGAGAGAGAGAGAGAGAGAGAGAGAGAGAGAGAGGCTTCAATGTCAAAGAGAAGCATCAATTAGTTGCCCAATCAGGCTAGGGATCGAACCTGAAATCAGCTATGTGCCCTGACCAGGAATCAAACCCATGACCTTTCAGTGTATGGGACGATGCTCCTATAAACCCAGCCAGGGTGGCTCCTGGCCACCCAGCCAGGGCTTGGCTTTGTTTTTGTAGGCAGTAGCCTTATTAATCAACTTAGTTTTTAAAAAATAATTTCAATACCAAAAAAAGAGGGGAAAAACACAAATAGATAAAAGATGATTCGGAAGAAGGTTGAAGTTTAGGCATATTGGTCAATAGATGAATGGATTCTTGGTGAACTGTATTTAGATGAAATGTCTTTAAATGGGCCACTGTAAAATAAACTGATGTTAAGTGGGTGGGTATGCTTTGGCTGAAGATGACTGAGTGCACACACGGCAAGCACCAAATGCAGAGGGGAAGGGGGAAGGTCTTCCACTGCAGCTACCTTTGTCCCTTCTGATCTGTCCATTATCTTTGACATCATTAATTGTCCCCATTCAGTCCCTTGGGTTTGTGGGTCTGAAGGACCTCTATCTTCTCTTTTGCCCCCAGCCAGCCTCCAGAAAGGCTTGATTTTGAGTCATCCCGCTGATGACTTCTGGTTAGAAATGATGGCTCTGATTGGGAGCGGAGGGTTGGAGTGGGGGTAGTTGGGGGGTGGTGGTGGTGAAAGAAATGCACTCTGCTTCCCAGGAACCTTCTTTACATGCACAGACCTACAGAGCCTGCACCTGTATCCCTTCACTGATGGCTGGCACCCCTTTGTGGTGGCGGCAGAGGTAATCTACCTCCTGTTCTTCCTCTACTACATGGTCATGCAGGTGAGGGTGGACTTGTAGCTCTATGGGCAAGGGAAGGAGATGCTGGTGTGCCCGTTCCCTCTCCCACCCCTACCCTCTTCCCTGGAGTGGGGTCTGAAAGAGGGGGAGGAAAAAGTTCTGTTTACCTGTTTGTCAAGGCAACCTGTGGGGGCCCTTCTGCTGGTCCTGAGGGCTGAACTAGTTCAGGAACCCAACTTTGGCACCTCAGAGGAACTAAGAACTCAGAGGGTGGTCCTTCCTGGGTAAGGAAGGAATTGGAGCAAGGCTCCCATTTCTGCTGAACTGAGACTTTCCAAAATGCTGGAGGTGGATATTCTCCATAGCTGGGGTTTCTCTGAACTCATATTGTGGGGGTTCTTAGCACTTTTGTTCTCATTGTGACCCTGAGAATTAAGAAACATTCCCCTTGCTACCTTTACCACCATGTTGCACAACGAAGTACAGATGTTGATAATGACGATGGGAACACATCCAAAGCATATTAGATGTTCTTTTCCAAAAATGGAAACCAGATACCTAAAAGGGGCATCTTAGCTCCCCAATTCCCTGCTCCAACCACCACCACAGCAACCACTTTAAGAAATATACTTTGAGGGCTTACTAAGAGGCAGGGATTTTGCTAAGAACCTTATGAGGATTTTCTCCTTTAACAACACCAGGAGAAAGGTCCTATGGATCCATTTCAGAGTAGGAAGCTAAAGTCCAGATGTGAAGTAATTCATCCAAGTTCAGAATTAAATCCTGAGAGTCTGACCCCAGATCTTGACACTCAACCCCTATGCCACACCATCAGCCTCAAAACTGGCAACACACATGCTCTCTGAGCATCCAATTCAAACTCACCAGTTAACAGTCATCAAATAGCAACTTATGTCTTATTGTTTCTCTAAGAACATGATAGGAGGCCCATTTACCACCTTTCCGAGCTTCATTCCTCTTCTCTCGATTGCCCCTAAAATGGTTCAGGGAACCACCTTGGGAGTAAAGACAAGCACAGTTCCGGCCATAGCCTTTGATAGAACCTCTGGTTCCTTTCCCAGGGCAAGCTTATGAGGAAGCAGAAGTGGCGCTATTTCCACAGCAAGTGGAACCTTCTGGAATTGGCCATCATCCTGGCCAGCTGGAGTGCCCTGGCAGTGTTTGTGAAGAGGGCCATCCTAGCGGAGCGAGACATCCAGCGATATCGGAAACAAGGGGAGGAGTAAGTGGCTCTGCCTCAGTCCCAGGTCCCACCTCTGGCCCTGCTTCCTCCAGCTCTGTGTGGCTCAGGGTTGAAAGGGGGCCTTTAAAGTTGTGTTGACCCCCAGAGGATAAAGGGCCACTCTAAAAATTAGCTATAGCTATGGCTTAGATTTAGGTTTGTGGTAAAAATGTCTCAGTATCAATAGAATTCTTTGAGCTCAAAAGTTATCAGAAGTACTTTTATTTTTATTTAAGTTGATTGTAAACCTTATGCAGAACAGTTATTTTAAAAACTTAAAGATGGTTTAGCTTTTGAAGGGGTCTGCAAAAGATGACACGGGAGCTAAATCCAGCCCTCCACCTGTTTTTGTAAGTTATGTTTATTGGAACACTACCTCACTCTCATTTATGTGTTATCTATGGCTGCTTTCCTGCTAAACTGGGTTAAGTCACTGGGACGGAAACTGGCCCACAGGGCCTCAAATATGTGCCATCTGGCCCTTTACATTAAAACTCTGTCTACTCCTGCTTAGAGAACAAAGCCTGAGTTCTAGGAAGGGACAATGGTGAGTCTGTTTTAGGTCACGCATGACTGAGATTATTGGCAGCCAGTATGATTGTTGTACCAGCACTGTCCCCACACTAGCCATGCTTTATGATTCCTTACAACGATCTAAGCATGTTCTTTTTTTTGACATTCACACAGACTGGTTTCTTGATTAGATGGATTATAAAACAATTTTATAGCAAGAGAGTACTCTTTTTTACACTGAGTGTCAGAAAACAAAAGTAATCTGCCACTTTTGAGAGAAACCTGTGTATAGTTAAGTTTGGCATTATAGGAAACCCTCAGTTGTATTTTGATTAGTCAAATAACCAAAGTTTGTGTTTATTTCAGAAACTTGCAAATTTTGTTTTCTTGTTGAAATAGATAAACCATTTTGTAGTTAGGTCCTGAATTTTAAAAGTACTTTTTAAGACCAAATTATATGCTTCATATTCATAGTCTCCCTTTAACCCAATGGTTCTCAGGCCTAGCTCATCAGCAGAATCACTCAGGGGAATGATTCAACCCTGATGCCCAGGCCTACTAAATCGGGATGTCCAGGGACAGAGCCCCAGAACCAGTATTTTTAATGTTTTCCCATTTTTTCTAAAATGTACATGAGTTTGAGCTCACTGCTTTAATTAGAGCTAATTGCCATCATAAATGAGGGCTTACATGGTTATTAGTTCCACATATATGAACAATTAGATGACATGAGAGAAGGTTGGGTGTTTTAAAGGGGGGAGGAACAAGGTGCTGCAGGAGCTGAAGGAGGAAGCCACCATCCATACAAGCCACCCCAGTCTGCTCAAAAAAGGCAGGAGATTAGGTAGAAGGAAGACTTTCACTAGGGCATTATATATGTATATGAAATGCTTTTAAAAACTTGAGGTCATATAATTTTGTTCTATAGACTGTTCCCATCTATGTCATTAAATATAGATCTATGCCATTTTTAATGACACACCAACATTAAGACTGAATTTAGAGTGCAAAGGCATGAGAGGGGCATGAACGGCAGGGTGGGATAGGGGAAGAACCTGGAGTTTGGAATCAGACACACCTGGATTCCAACTGTCATTCTTCCACCACCAGTTATATCTCTAATTATGTCATTAGCTGTGTGACATTATGCTAACTCTCTGTCCTTACCTGTAAAGGGAGACAGCATACTCCCTCATCCGGTGGTTTTCAGTCAGATGACACAATGCAATTACTAGTAAAGTTCATTAGGCCCTCAGCACAGCAACAGGATGGTACTTCCATCCCTCCTTCAAATGTAAGGGCAATAGGGACATTCTCTCAAACAGGAGAAAGTGGTATTTAGTGACCCCAAACCAGGAGGGGAGGTTCATAGTACTCCCTCATCTTTGTCCTCTTGACCTGGGGAGGATCCCTCCTTTGTCATTCTTCCATAGCTCTGCAGCCATTAACCAAGACTGCTAGGTAACGGCCTCACAAACTAACTGCTGAGGCCCCATGACCACCATCACCATCACTATCCCTATCATAATTATCCTCATCATCCTCATCACCATCATCATCGTCACTGTCGTCTCTATCTCCTTCATCATCATCATTATCACCATCATCCTCAGCATCACCATCTCATCATTACCTGGCTGGGGGGATTGGGACAGCTGTTTCCCAGACCTGTTGTAGGAAGTGGTGGCCTCTGAGATAAGTCTAATCCTGGGCTGAACTGAGTCCAGATGAACCCTGGCTGAGCTGTATACAGTCCCTGAGACCCAATCTTCCTTCTTGGTCCCAAAGGGGGATCAGTTTCAGTGAGACAGCCGCAGCTGACGCTGCCCTTGGCTACATCATTGCCTTCCTGGTACTGCTGTCCACAGCGAAACTTTGGCATCTGCTCAGGTTAAACCCCAAAATGAACATGATCACATCAGCTCTACACCGTGCCTGGGGAGACATTTCAGGCTTTGTCATCGTCATCCTTATCATGCTCCTGGCTTACTCCATTGCGGTGAGTGGCTCCTTTGGGAAAACCTCAGGGCTGGTCTCCTTGGAAGCAAAGGCTTCTCAGTGCTAGGGGATTGGGAATTAGGGTAAGGGAAGCCCTGGGAACCTGAGGGAGATGGTGAGTCTTCTGAACCTAGGGCTTTTTAGCTGGGAGCTCATGAACTGGTCACTCCAAATGGAGACCTCAGTTGGGTAAGAGTGAGGAGGTACAGTCTCAAGACTGAGACGACCAACTATCTCCAACGAAGGATTCCTTTCTGTATCCAGACCCTGCCTGGATGTGCCAGTTCTCCCAGTTGCTCAAACATGCACAAAGCGCTCCTTCTGTGTCAGGGGATGTGGAGATGAATTGGGCAGTCCTGCCCTTGAGCTGGGGCAGAGATGGGGAAGTGAGGATGGATGTATCTGCAGGCCATGTCAATGCTTGATTCCCTACACATGAGGCATGAAGTTAGTAGGGCCAACACCATTTTATTTAGCCCCTTAACACTGAGAACATTTAAAAAATCACATTTCTTTTGTGACTGAAAAAAATTAAATTATCAACTCTTTTTTTATATCAAAAAATGTGAGAAACAAAGACCCTATAATACAGTGGTTCTCAACCTTCCTAATGCCGCGACCCTTTAATACAGTTCCTCATGTTGTGGTGACCCCCAACCATAAAATTATTTTCGTTGTTACTTCATAACTGTAATTTTGCTACTGTTATGAATCGTAATGTAAATATCTGATATGCAGGATGTATTTTCATTGTTACAAATTGAACATAATTAAAGCATAGTGATTAATCACAAAAACAATATGTAATTATATATGTGTTTTCCGATGGTCTTAGGCGACCCCTGTGAAAGGGTCGTTCGACCCACAAAGGGGTTGCGACCCACAGGTTGGCGACACACATGTTGAGAACCGCTGCTCTAATACATCCTGATCTTCATCTAAATATGCTCCCCATGCTCTCCAAGTCCATGATTCTCATCATAACCCTGGCTCCCACTCCTGACACTGTTCAATCTTGACTCACTCCTCGCCCTAACCCCTTTCTGAATTATTATTCTGATTGCATCCAGTCTCTCACGTTACACCATCCCCTGATCTCCATACCATCCAATAATCTATCTTATCCTAGTCCCCACTCATCTCTAACCCTCTTCCCATTCCTGATTCTTTCCCTAACTATCACCTCAACCCTGACCCCCGACTCCATCCCTGACCTCACTCCATCTTCCTTTCTCACCCTCAAAAATAGGGTGAAATGCATTGATGGAGTGTATATGCTGAAAAGCTGGAGTCTGCTTTTGTCAAAAGTACCCCATCCAACCTCTTAGTTCATGTGGATTTATTCAGTCCTCCATACCCAATGCACAGACTGCACGGAATTGCAGTGTCCTCTGGGAATAGAAGTCACTGACTCAGAGCCAATGGAGTGCAGGGATTCCCTCTGACACAACCTCCTGTGGAAATCTTTGGGGTGGAGAATGTGGTGGTGAGGGAAAAGTATGGTGTGGAGAAGGTCCTGTTCATCAGAAGAAGCCTACTGTCCATCCAACCCAGCTCCCCCTGCGCAAAAAGGATTGGGCCTCAGAGAGCCCAGTTTCATTACTGAATTTTAGAACAGCCATCTGAGAGAATGTAGTAGGAGCCTAGTTGGTGGTGTGTGAGCCCCAGAAGTGCACATGCATCCATGCAAAACTGGGTGTGTACTTCCACCAACTTCCATGCCTCAGTAGGTACCAGTAGCTTAGCCAGGCCAGGCCAAGGATGTGGCTAACTCAGACCACTGACTCTGTCAAACAATAGGCTTTAGGGAACTGCATGTTTTCTTTCGCTGCTCATGAGGACTCTTTCCATAACAGTCAAATTTGATATTTGGTTGGAAACTCCGCTCCTACAAAACCCTCTTTGCTGCAGCAGAAACGATAATCAGCCTTCAGGTAGGAATCTTCAACTATGAGGAGGTAATGGGGTAGGGCAAGGGAACATGGACACTGCTATCTACACCAAGCCTTTACAAAAATTAGAAAAAGCAGTCCCCTCAAATGCCTTCCCAGTGAATATCACCCCTGTGTCCATGGCCTGGCGAGTGCATGGTAACTATGGACAAATAAAAAGGCTCCTCTTCCTCCAGACAGACAGCCCCAATCTAAGGCCCACAGCTCACCCTGGGGACCCCAGCTTACAGAAGAACATCAGGTACTGGCTACTCAGGAGACGGCTGTGCTAGGGGGTCCCTGGAAGGGAATGCTCCTGAACCCTAGCCAGAAATGGTACCGTATTTGGAAATGGCAGCAGTAAGGAGTAGGGATGCTGCCCTCTCACTCTCCTGGCAGCTGTTGAGAGCACTGCCCATACTGCCAGCCTCCAGGCAAAAAGGACCCTTCTGGCTCAAGGCTCTGCCTAACTCTGAGGACCAATTTTCCTTCTGAGGGTATCTAGTGGGTGAGGTGGCCGATAGGACACAGGACCCTCAGGGATGACTCTGGATTTCTTCCTAACAGGTCCTGGACCACAGCCCAGTGCTCGGCTCCTTCCTAATTGGGTCCTGCATTGTTTTCATGACATTTATTGTGCTGAATCTACTTATCTCTGTCATCCTGGTGGCCTTCAATGAAGAGCAAAAATACTATCAGGTGAATTCCTTTGGCCTATTCTTCAATAGGCATTGACCTTGAAATAGAAAAAGGTTGTCTGAGCAGCATTAGACATTAGGGGAACTTGAGAGACCTTGAGAGACCATTGTAGCTTAAAGCCTTCATTTCATGGGAGGGGAAACTGAGGACCAGAAGAAGAAAATTACATCACTAAGATCATAAGCAAATGAAGGACACACTAGAAATGGGTCTCCTGATTCCCAGTGTGGGACTGTTCCTTACATCAGTGATTCTCAGCTCCGATTGTACATTATAATCACCTGGGGGCTTTTGGAAACTACTACTGTTGTACCTGAGACCACTAAAAACAGAATCCCTGCGTGAATGATGCAAGCATGGGTATTTCTGAAATCTCCCTGTGTTATTTTAATGTTCAGCCAAGGTTGAGAACCCATCTATAATAATAAAAGCATAATATGCAAATTGACTGAACGGCCAAACAGCAGAACAACCATCCAGACAAACTTCCGGACAAAGCCGGCAGCCAGGGCTGCAGGGGCCGAGGCAGCCGGGATTGCAAAGGCCTACTCTTGCACAAATTTCATGCATCAGGCCTCTAGTTATAAATAATGAAAGAAAACTTAGGTGATACAAACAAACTTTAATACTTCATGAAGTGATCAGTATCCATTCAGAGAACTGCAAGGTAGGATGGAAGGCAGGAAGTTTTTATAGGATAAAGAATAAAAATAAAAAACAAGGAAGAGAAAAATGAAAAATATCGATTGGCTGGGGCCACAGAGTCAACCTGTTTGGGTGAGAAGGAAAAAGAAATAAGTACGGATAGAGCCCAGAGTTGGGTTGGTGTTTGGGGACTGGCTGACTGCAGTACTGCATTTCTGTCAAGGGGAGCATTTACCGGAATTGAACAAGTATTGACTGACCATTGTAATAGACTGAATGTAAAACTAATTCCAATTCTCTGCCCTTTTCTATGCCCTTTGTAATGAGACATTCAGCTCCTCCCATTAAGGAGTGGAATCTCCCCACCTCAGTGAATCTGGGATAGCCTGTGACTTGACTGGCTTTGGTTTGGCTGAAGTAAGAGTACTGTATGTCCGTTCCAAGCCTGAGTTTCACTCACTCTCTTGGCTCCTCGGCCATGCCCTGAAAACAGCCTGGGTTAGAATGCTGGCTGATGAAAAAAAAAAAAATGCTTCAGCCCATAACCAGACCAGAAGAGCTGCCCTCTCTGCCAAACTCAGCCCCTGTACCCCTATGTTCACTGCAATTTTATTCTCAGTGGCCAAGATATGGAAACAGTCAGTGTCCTGTGATAGAGGATTGGATAAAGATGTGGTTCATACACACAGTGGAATACTACTCAGCCATAAGATGAAATACTGCCATTTGCAACAACATGGATGAACCTTGAGAATATTATGCTAAGTGAAATAAGTCAGAAAAAGTTAACCATATTATTTCATGCATATGTGGGATATAAAACTGAAACTTTTTAACACAAAGAGCAGTATTGTGGTTGCCAGTGGGAAGGGAATGGGAACGGTAGGGAGTGAAGGTGGCCTTATGTATGGTAATGGAAGATTAATTTGACTTTGGGTGATGGGCACACAGATCCTGTATTATAGAAATACTAGAGGCCCAGTGCACAAAATTCGTGCACTGGGGGGGGGGTCCCTCAGCCCACCTGCGCCCTCTTGCAGTCTGGGAGCCTTCAGGGGATGTCTGACTGATGGCTTAGGCCCACTCCTGGCAGTAGGACATTCCTAGGGCTGCCGCTGAGACAGGAGAGGCTTCTGCCACCCACTGTCGCTGCGCTCACCACTCCTGAGTCTGGCACAGGGCTTCTAGCTGAGCAGGGCTCCCCCTGTGGGAGTGCACTGACCACCAGGGGGCAGCTCCTGCATTGAGCGTCTGCCCCCTAGTGGTCAGGGTACATCATAGTGACCAGTCCTTCCCCATTCAGTTGATTTGCATATTAATTAGCCTTTTATTATATAGGATACCCTTAAAACCTATATGATCTTATTAACCAGTCACCCCAATAAATTTATTTTTTTTAAATCTATTTTATTGATTTTTTACAGAGGAAGGGAGAGGGATAGAGAGTTAGAAACATCGATGAGAGAGAAACATCGACCAGCTGCCTCCAGCACACTCCCCACTGGGGATGTGCCCACAACCAAGGTACATGCCCTTGACCGGAATCGAACCTGGGACCCTTGAGTCCGCAGGCTGACGCTCTATCCGCTGAGCCAAACTGGTTAGGGCCACCCCAATAAATTTAATTTAAAAACTGTAGTTATGTCAGCATGCCCTTGGCCAATGCCCAACAACCATCTTCTCCTGGAATGATTCTGTTTAGACTTGACTGAATACCACTCTGCCTGCCCTGGAACCTCTGTAGGAGGGCAGGATCGCATCCTTTAACAGGACTGGGATTACCCTGCATTCCCTGGCCCATAGGCTAGGGCAGCCGTGGGCAAACTACGGCCCGAGGGCCGGATCAGGCCCGTTCGGCTGTTCTATCCGGCCCGCGGAGCCGAGAAAGAGCAGAGGGTTCTCTTGCTCTCCCCTCCACTCCTTCACCAGCAGCAGTGTTAACATGGCAACGTCGGGAAACACGGCCGCAGCTCCTTCTTCACGGCCGCATTCTGAGTGGGCGGATTTATATCCGCCCATTCAGTAGAAGGAACAACCACTCAATCTTCCAGAGGCTCCTAGGCTCCTTCGCGGACGCGTCTCCCGACATCACCCTGGGAATGCATAGACACGTTATCGTGGTGATGTAGGGAGACACGCCCCTGGAGAGCACAGTATCAGAGCCTTTCTGAGGTAAGATTAAGAGCTCTACTCAAACACAATTTTTTCCTGTTCCCACATTCTGTACATCACAATGACTTGTTAATAAAACAACAAAGACTTTCAGCTTTTAGGGCTTGTATCCACTGCAGTTTTTTTTCCCACTGCGGACGCGTGCAGCAGGGAAAAAGACACACAGACACACAGAGGCACTAGCCATGCTGCGGCTGCATTTTTTGGCTGATACGGATGCGGTATCAGTAACGCTACGGTGGCCACTTGGCCACTATGTTAGCGGCAAAACAAATGCATTTTGCGCTGCGTTTGCTTCTCCCCCTTGCGCCTGTAAAAATGCGTGCTACAGGGCATTTGTGTTAACATGCACCACTGCACATTAGCATCAAC